AAAAAAAAAAAAAAAAGAAAAAAAAAAAAGAAAAAGAAAAAAGAGAAAGAAAAACTTGGGTTTGACCAAGCAACTCTCAAATTCACCCTTCAAACAAGATAATAGGGACAAATTTGCCTCTCACAAAAATATAAGAGTAAATTGTCATTTCAAATTATAAAAAGGCAAATTACCTATTTTTTAACTTGTAACATCAACTTTCCATTGACCAGGTAAGTATTTTTTAGTAGAAAACTAACATCACATATTAAAAAATAAATAATTTATCTTAATTTATAATTTGAAGGAACAATTTATCCATATATTTTTGTGAGGAGTGAATCTATCTTTGCCACTCTATTTAAAGGGTAGATTTGAGAGTTTTGATTAAACATTTAATCAAATGACCAAGGAAAAACAAAATACCATCACCAACCTAACAACTCAAGTGCCTATATCCAATTTTATTTGAATCCATCACAATGAGATTTTAAAATAATATAATAAAACAATAAAAAAATGAGAATCTCAATCCTTATGCAAGTATTCTTAAATTTAAGTTATTAGCAGTAATTAATTATAACAATTATATATTAATTACACTTACATTTTCATCTTAGTGTAAAATTGGGGGCGCCACATAGAGCTTGAAACCTTCAGAGACATATGCTGTAATAAAAAGTAAGAAATTATCTGTAGTCTAAAGTCTGAACTATATTAGACCACACAATTTCAATCATCAAATGGCGGTAAGAAAAAAAAAGTTGATATGGTAAAATTAAAATATGTGCAAAATGTGAAATTAAAATATAATATAATATTTGTACTCAAAATCTATAAAAATGTATGAATCTAATATAAAAATTTGTACAAAATTAATTATAGGTACTAAATTTATGAGATTTAATTTCTATCTTTAGGGATAAGTTAAAAAATCCCATAACAAAACGATACCCTAACTTGTGTCCTAATAGTATAGGTTAAAAAAATCTTTTTCATTTTTATCATATTATTTCTTATCTTAAGTCCTCAAACAACAATAACAGGAGAAAACGATGCAGATAATGTTACAAATTTTGTTATTTTTTTATTTAAAAATGTTAACTTTATCAATTTCTAAATAAAATAGTAAACCTTCAACTAATTCTATTTAATGATGTCAATTTTA